GTGAGGCCTCGTCCTCCTGCATCCCCGCTCGGTCTCCTGCCTCCCGCCCCACGTCCACCTGGCTTCTTCCCCCTTCCAGCTCCATGACGAACGGGGTCATTCATTCCCATCGCTTCTGCGTGTGGGGCCTCTCCTGCCTGGCAGGGTTTCCGTAACGAGCCCGTCCTTGTCCGGGCCCGTTATCTTAGTTGTGCGAGCTGCCTCTGTCCAGGCCGATCCCCGCGCAGGCTCCCAAGCTCGCTTGAGCCATTTGCTCGCATGCGACCGAAAGGCAAAAGGCAGGAACAACTCTGCAAGCGGATGGGCTGTGCGTTTCTGTGCTCACCTGCAGGGGAGTAGCTTGGACATAGCAATTGGTCACTGAGATTTGCTCCTTGGGGTGATGGGGTCGACTCCCACCCGGGGTTAGTAAGTAGAGAAAGTCCTTAGCAGGCAAAGGAGATTTTGGAAAGGGAGAAATAAGAATTAGGTCCCCCCCAGCACTGCTTCAGCCGGGGTGAGCTGAATGTCCCTGGCAAAGCAGCCAGGACTTGGTGCTCGTGCAACAGCCGGTCTCCTGAAGGCAGGGATGGGATTTGCAACGAGGAGCAAACTCGCTGTGCAGCCAGCACCAGGGTTGGGGAGCCGGGGAGAGGGGATTTAGGAGCTGGTCACAGAGGGTGGGCTTGTGTGTTGTGGGCTGAGTGGAGGGGGCGCAGTCCCAACTCTGCGCGGTTGTACCTGGGGGTGGGCACGGCGTCCAGCAAAGCGGGGACCCGCCGCAATAGGAGATGAGCAGGGGATGGGGGAGGCTGGTGCTTGCCTTCACCCCGCGAGGAGGTGCTGGCATCCCCGTAGTGCCACGGGAAGGGGTGACAGCAAATATATATCGTGGGTGGGAGAGGCAGGAGGGGCGAAGCCAGGTCTCAGCAGGCCCTTTCCTGGCAAACAGCCTTCTAGGTTGTGCGAATCTATGGACGGACGATCATCATTCATGCAGCCCCTCTTCCACGGCCTCCAATCAGCAGCCAGAGAGACCCCCCAAAATCCAGCCCAACCTGCAGGAGCCTCCGAGCAATTTGGACAGGCCTCGCCCTCTGCCCTGCAGCCACGGTGGGCGACAGCCCCCCCACGCACACGCGTGTGCGACAGGCCTCCTTTGCACCCGAACGGTCAGGGAGCTTGCAGCATAACTTAAACGAGGCAAAAAAGAAGAGGGCTGGCTTATTCATTTGTGGCCCGCCCGCCAAAAAGGCCAGTGACCTAAAACCTCCGGCATCAAGCGCAGAAATTGCATGACGTTTAGGTGCTCGGAGGTCTTAGGTTCATCCCCCCCGGAGCCCATCCCCGTCTCCCTTTGCCCTCGCCAAACCGGCGCCACCAGCCCAGGGCAGAGACAATGATTCCCAGGCGGGCTCTTAGGAAACCGCGCGCCGAGCTCAGCGCAGGCGGGCTGCGAGGTGGGCGCTCTTCTGCCCGGCGTGAACCGTGGACACGCCGCCGCGCTGGGCATGTGCTGAGCACTAGCAATGGGGTTGCATCTATGTCTCGCATCGGGGGCCGTGGAGCGACTCTCCTGCCAGGATCCCAGCTGCAGCCCCGCGTGGGGAACACCGAGTCACGTAGGGGAGGTTTTCCTTGCAGCCGTCAAGGCTGGAGCCTGGAACGAGCGCTCGGATCCTGCTGTCCCTGGCCGGGCGCCCGGAGCAGGGCTGGTCCAGTGTCTTGCCAAGCAGCAGATCCACCCGGTGCCTGGGGTCTCTGCGCTGGACGGGCTCCGGGAGCAAATGGGCCCGTCCCTGCGCTGAGCAGCGTCGCCATGCCCTGGATCCCATCGGTTATCTCCACGGGGAAAATGCTGGGAAAGTTTAGCCGCAAATCTCCTGATGGCCAAGGTCTCATTTCCCCATGTGCCCATCAGGGTCTCGTTGCAGCTTGCTTTTCATAGACTCAGAGAAAACGAGGGTTGAAGGGACCTCAAGAGGTCACATCTAGTCCAACCCCTGCTCCAAGCAGGACCAGCCCCAACTCCATCATCCCAGCCAGAATTATTTTCCCCCCTAAAAAGAGAAGTTGGGGCAAGGAGTCAGCTCCTTGCCCTGGGGAGTCCAGGACCCTCTTGCTGCCGGTGCCAGGAGAGGGCTGGGTGGCTTGCAAAGCAGATCCGTGCCCCCCAGCGGCACTTCGACCGCCTTCCCCCATCCCTGAGGGCTGCCGGCTTGCACGCCCAGCCCCGGGGGCGCGGGGGGAAAAGCAGCCAGACACTTTTGTGGCAAATAAAGATGAGCAGGGAGGAGCGCGGGGAGCTGGGCAGATGTCAGGCACTTCCAGCACCCTCCTCCGCACGCAAACCCCGACCCCCGGTGCCTTCCCAGGGCTTCGCTCTCCCGTCTTGTCACCGGGAGGATGCGGGGCTTGGCCCAGCCGCTTCCCCGCTCTCCGGGTTTGGCGCGGGGACAAATTCCAGGTCTACGAAATTGCTTCGACTCGCTGTAATTTCTAAGGCTCGGGTCAGCCGCGTGCCGCCGGCGCCGCCTTCAGAAAGGACAAGGGATACGTAGCCGCAGCTAACTTGTTTCTCTCCTTTGCCCCCAAATTCAAGCAGGCCTCAAAGGGCGCAGAGCCTCGCGTCCTTCCACGGGAATGGGAGCGACCTCGGCACGGACGTTACCCGGGTTAAACGGGCCAAGGGCTCCTCTCTCCTCCGGGCGCTGGTTTTCGGCAGAAATGCTCTCTTTGGGTAGTAGAGCACCGGGTACGTCGTCCTCCATCGAAAGGGTCGGGTCTTGGTCACGGGCAGGATGCTGGACCAAGCGCGTTGATGGGGCTTCTCCTCCTCTCTGCCTCCGGAGACAGCGGTCTGTGGGGCTGACCCACGGGGGAGATGGGTTGGTTTCCTCAAGAGGACGGTTATTCGGCCGTACGCTCCTCTTTTCCTGCCTGGACTTCGAGTCGCAGCAGCAAAGAGCCCCTAACTTATTACAGGTGGCCAGGGTCTTTATTAAAGGGGCACATTTGCACCCCGCGTTTAGGTTTTGTGAATAGGAGCTTGCAGGCGCGATGCTAAGGACGGTTGTGTGAATAAGAAAAGATGCGGCGTCCGCCTCTCGTGGCAGCGCTGGAAACCCGGATGGCAGCGCCCCGCCGTAGAGATCGCTGAGACTCGCTGGGCCTCCTGTGGGGGCGGCGGGGAAACCCCGGAGGCCACCCCCCCGCCGTAGAGATCGCTGAGACTCGCTGGGCCTGGCAAGACGCAGGCGGGCTGCAAACAGGCTGCTCTCGGGGTGCTGGCGCTGATGCTCAGTGGGTCTCCGTGCCGTGCGTGAAGGATTTTGGGGTCTCCTCGGGTTGCACGGGTTCAGCGCGGGGTGCAAACTGGGATGGGGACGATGCTCCCGAGGTCCCCAAGCCTTCCCGAAACCGGGGCACGGCTGGCCGTGTGTGGACAAGGGTTCGGCCAAACCAAAGGCGCGTGGTGCCACCTCCTGGTCGTTTCGTGGATTGCTCCGCCGTCGCGTCGTCCCGGTGCCGATAGCCCCGGGCTTGCAAAAACCCCTCGGTAGAAAATAATCCCCCACCATCAGCTCCCCCCACAACCGCTAACACCGAACCCAAACTACTTCTTCACCTCCCGTCCGCCGCTCTCCGGCAGGGTCGCCGGTCCGTCCAGCGCTGCTCCCCGCCAGAAGCGCCTACTTCGGTGCGGCGGTGAAAATACCCCCAGTAGTTCCGTTGATGGGGTTTTGGGGGGGCTTGAGAAGGATCAGGAAATAGTTCTTGCACTGGAAACAGCTGTTGGGTCTTTCTCGCACCCTTAGCTCAGGTTGGGGGTGGTCGCCCAATTTCAGTGAGTCCTTTCGATAATAAGAGGCGCAGCCTGACGGGCCCAACGCCTTGTATTTCTGCATGAATTGTTCTGGGCCCCGTTTTCCTCTGGTCCCGCGCTCGGGCGGTTTCTCTGTCACCAGCGGAGGTGCTGCCAAAGCATCATCGCTGGCCTTTTGGGAATGTATCGCAGGGGGTCCTACGGCCTCCGGAGGCTAGGACTTTATTCAAATTTAGACCCCAAGATAACTCTCTTTTACTCCGGTGGCTGCATGAAAGGTCACAAGTCAGCTAAGTATAGGCTGTCACCAACTCGCTCCTATATATAACCGCTCAGGAGGCTTGACGACATCCCATCTGTTAAAGCCATACTGGCCAAGGGATCGCGGCATCCAAAAGGTCTCCCGATATATTTAGGGGCAACTACAATAAGTAAAGCGGCAGCTCTGTTCCCGGCAGGAGCGTATCGGGGCTAGGGGAGCTCGTTAGCACTCGGCGCCGTTAATATTGGTGCTGGAAGGTAGGAATTTAGACGGCGCCGGATGCCGCGGCCCTGCGGAGAGCGTAGATATCCTGCGCGGGGAGCTTGCAGCCACCGCGGACGTGCAGCCACCTCCGAGCGGGGACTCAACCCTGTTCTGCATCAACCGTGCTACCCAGGAGGTCTTAAAAAGACAGCCATCCTCTGGTAGTTGAGCCATGGTAGGAGTTGGCCATCTCTGCCAAACTCATGGAAGGGCAAAGGTCCATCCCAAGACTTGGTAGCCTCTCAGCCTAGTGGGATGGAGGCTTGCATGACCAACTCCCCAACTTGAATGGCCATTGCCCGTTGACAGTAGGGTCAACCACAAATGCCCTATGGTGGGTAGGACCTACGGGTAACTCTTCTGCTCTGCGGCAGATAAAATATCCTTGTGCACCACAGATCCCGTGGGTGCAGAGACCATGCATATTATTTCACCGTAATGACTGGGGTGGCCTATATCTGCAGCATGCAGTCCAGTGTCCAGAGAGGTTCGTTCTTGTTGGAGCCCTGTGTGGATGCTCCACGCGACGAAAAAAGGGGCTGACCTTTCTAGGAAGGGACACAGAGTCTTATGTGGGCTTACGAAGCAAAGTGGGGTGCGTAAAGCTGGCAAGCAGTGGGTAGACGGGGCCCCGCGTGCTCACGCTGCACCCTCCCTTTCTCCCTCCAGAGAAGGAGTCCCGAGAGCATGAGGAGCCGACCACCTCGGAGATGACGGAGGAGACCTACGCGCCCAAGGGATACCGGCCCAAGCACCCGCGCCTCTCCGAGCTGAAGGCCGAGGCCCTGAAGAAGGACCGCAGGAAGAAGATGACTTCGAGCAAGTTTGTCGGCGCGGCGGAGAACACGGCGCACCCCCGGGTTGCTGCCCCCGAGCTGAGGCCAGAGTTTGAGCTGGTGAGCGGCCTTAAATCTTGCGTGGGCCCTTTCCACTGCATGCCTCCTTCCCTTCCTTGCGTCCTTTCCTTTTCTCTCTCCCATTTTCCGTGCACCAGTAGAGAAGGCTTGGGCTGCTCCGGCGCCTGGTCTACTCGGTGGGAAGAGCAAGCTGGAAAGCACAGAGCTGTGTCCCAGCCTCAGCCTGGGGGGTTCATCCCTCCCGGGTGACCCCGGATGGGACGGGGTGTCTTCAGGCCGGTTGGGTCGGGACGGCGGGGCTCACCCTGGTTGTCACCTCTCGGCAGGGTCCTTGCCGCAGACAGATGGAGGCGTCGCTGCAGGAGCTCAAAACTAGCCAGCGGATGATCCCCAGAGCCGTGCACCTTCCCAACTGCGACAGGAAGGGTTTCTACAAGAGGAAACAGGTAGCGTCTTCACCGGAAGCCAATGCAGCCCCGTTTCGGGGTCCGATTCGGGGGGGGGGTAACCCCCTGTATCTCAGGGGGCACGAATCTGCTAGAGCTGGGATCTAGAGCGGCTCCCAGGCCCTTCGGGCAGCAGTCGGTGGATAATCACGGCAAAACTCTGCCGGTTGTCCAACGCGCTGGTGCCTGAGATGGACAAAATGTCAGAGAAAGGAAGGATTGTTTTCCTCCGTTTTCTAGCTGGGAAACTAAGAGCTTTGCTCGCACGGTCCCACTCTGCAACCCTTTGTCCATCTCCATGAGCGGCCCCTTAGCTCGCCCCCCGACCCCGGCTGCAGTCCAGGCCGCCCTCGAGCAAGTCCCCGCTAGCCTATCCCTCATTGCCGTCTGCTTTAACTGCATTCAACTGCAGAAATGCACGGCAAATGGAGGCAGACAAGGTTCTTTGGATATATCTGATATGTTTGATTAGACCCGCTCAAATCGTTGGAAAAATTCTTCTCCGCAAGCTTTCGGGTATCAATCCCCTTTGTCTGAAAGCTTGCAAAGAAGTTTGCAAGCTTGACAGCTTGCAAAGAAGTTTCCCAATGATTTGAGTTGGTCTAATCAAAGATATCGCATTTACCCAAGCAACCCGGTCTGCCTGTGTCCTTAGACCAACACGGCTACCACCTGCACCCCGGACTAATCGAGGGAAATCCTTGTGGTAGAGACACCCCAACTGACTTAGTGTCATAGAAGAGGAGGGTTGGGAGGGAGCTCAGGAGGTCACGTCTAGTCCAACCCCCTGCTGCAAGCAGGACCAGCGCCAGCTACATCATCCCAGACTTTACCCAATGCCACCAGGCAGAAATTGGTCTCAGGTCTCCCAAGTCACCCTTGCCTGAAGGACTGCTTGCAGGTTCCTCCCGTGCGCGTTCGCCGTGCCTTTCTCTGACGTCTCCCCGCGTCTCTCCCCAGTGCAAGCCGTCCCGAGGCCGGAAGCGCGGGCTGTGCTGGTGCGTGGACAAGTACGGCCTGAAGCTGCCAGGGAGTGGGTACGTGTCTGGAGACCTGCAGTGCCACCACTTCGACAGCAGCAACACCGAGTGAACCCCCCGCTGAGACCTCCCCGACCCCCGTGCCTCCCCGCGCCCCGGACTCGGACTCCTTTCATCTCATTTTTAAATAAAAAGAAACAAGCTGAAGAACCTGAGAACCTTGGAATCGACAGTCCGTCCTCGACCTCGGCGACGGCGGCGACAGAGACTGACAGAGGACAGGAAAGGAGGAGCAGAAAGACAAGCCAGTGGCTTCCTCCACTCCTCATCCCTGCTCCCCGCGACTCCCCCGGCCACGGCTCCCCGCTCCCCGCCGAGGAGCGGAGCCAGCACGAGCCTGTAGGAATTGCTCGAAAGCACTTGAGTTGGTGTTTTGCTCTTGTGGGTTGCTTTGATTTTTTACTATTCCTTCATTTTTTTATTTTTTGTCCCGGATTAGCTAGCCGCTTCCCCCTGCGGTCTCTAGAGAAGACGGAGGAGCCCCGCCACGAGCAACACTCCCACTCCTTCCACTCGAGTCCCTTCTTCCCCTTCCTCTCTCCTCTGCTAGGACTTGAGTGGCTTTGATTTTTCTCCTCCTCTCTATCAATATATCTATAGCCATAGATATATGCAGATTGCTGGGGGGTCATAGATAGCCTTTTATATACCTTTTTTTAATGGTTTGCCTTATGCGAGGGAGCAGGTCAGCGACGCGGACACCAGCCAAATGTATCGGTAGACTTTTGGAAAAACAACCCCGCCTTCCCGATCCCTCGGGGGAAAGGGGTGGTGTCCCTTAAGCAGGAGATCGTATTTCCTGGCATATGTGACTCTGTTGAGCTGTTCTCCATCAGCGTGGGGACGTCTGTGGTCTGTCGCCTCCTTGCAAAACTGGCCCCCGGCCCGAACGCCGGTGCCTTCAACTTCAAGTGCAGAGCCATTCCCTCGAACCATCTCCCGGGCTTGTCGCAGACAAACGTCCCTTGCAAATCGACCGCGACCGTTCAAGCCCGTGCATTACTGAAGGGGTTGCGGGATCGGGGCGTTCCTCGGCCACCCCGGCACCATTTGTGTCACGACGATGATGAAGATGAAGACGGTGATGGAGAGAAACTAATGACATTTTTAATTGCCCATCCAAATAGGTGTTTGCCCCAGGCCAAGATGCTGTTTCAAGGCTGGCGAATGCTACACACCCATGCACACACAGATACGTGCAAGCCCGTATCTATTTTTTTCCCCAGTCCAGTGTTCAGACACCCCTTTCAAGGCTCCTACAGACGGTTTCCATTCGCTCCGTACAGTCAGAGCCCCCCCAAGCCCAACCCGAGCAAACCGGGGGCCCTCAGGGCATGTAAATCCAATGGACTCAAGCTGCTTCTCCAGGCTTAGACAGACCGCGACGTCCTTGGGACTCTACTTTTCTTCTTGACTCTTGAGACCGTTTCTTTTATTTCACCACGACAAGGGTCTTGGCTAGGTTTGCTTCCACAGAGATCCTGCAGGAAATAAAACAGCCCTCCAGGGAAAGGAGCAATGGGCTCAATCCTTGCTTTGGAGACCTGCTAGCGATTAAGAAACCTCTCCCTGTTGCTAGCTGTCTGAGCGTGCAGACACGCACGTGTACACGAGACAGCGACCGTTCCCTCCCAGACGAGGATTGCCGTGCGGCGGGCCGGGAGCACGGCCGGACAACGCGCTGACACCCGGCAGAAGAAGGATGCCCGCTGCGAGCGCAGGTCAAAGGGAACCGGCGAGCCTCCGTGAGGGATGACAGCTTTGTGCTAAAGGGACACGGGTCCAGCTCTGTCTCCCTCCCGCCCTGGACCTAGGAGGCAGCTTCTCTTCTGGTTTCACTCTGGATTGCATTGGCGCGGGAGGTTGGGTGGAGGGGAGCAGAGGAGCGGGCTGCTTGGCGAGTCCCGGGTGTGAAACAGGGCTGCCCGGTGGCCTCGAAAGGCCTCGTTCTCCGGCCTTGGGGCAGAAGGATTGAGGAGGCTTTGAACCATGCTCCTTGTTCCCCGGTGCTACGGAGGGTCCTGCCAGGCCTCCAGCAGACCGTGAGAGCGGCCTCCGGGCTGCTCTGCCTCGTCCTCTGCAAAAAAGCCTCGTGCACCGTGCTCCGGTCCATCTCCTCGCCGGCTGGGCGTATTGCACAGCGGCCTTGGAGGTTCCCTGAATTGGGGGGATGCTCGAGGGGGGGCGCTTTTTCTGCACCTGCAAAGACCCCTCTCTGCCGCTGCGCTTGTGTGAAGGGTCCTTAGTGTCACTGGGATCAGGACCAAGCCACGTGAATAGCAGAGAGGAGAAAAATGGCAAGAACACCCCCCCGACCCATCTCCATCACCAGGGATGGAGATTTCCTGAGGGTCTCCCTCCTGGCTGTCACATCCACTGGGTTGCATCCAGCAAGGTGCCTAAACCGCTGCACACCAGAGAGGCTGGTTGCCACGTACAAAGCCAGGGCCTAGCTCAGCGTCCGCCTCTCCCCCCTACAAGGTGTGGGGCTGTGCAGATCCGGTCTCCCTCGGTGCCGCTTTCCCTGCGTGCATTGCCACAGGCATCTCCGGGGTCAGAGCAGGAGTTTTTGGGTGGTGACAGAGGGTGTTGGAGGGGATCGGGGATGCCCCAGCTTGGCAGCGGTGGGAGAAAGTGTGGGTGGCTTGGAAAGGGGTTGAGTAGTGGGGCAAAGAGGAAGCCCCTCCTCGAGAGAGGGCCGTGCCCCAGGCATGACGGCGTCCCATGGGTAGGCCTTCCCTTCTCTCTTCCTCCGACTGTCCCCACGAGACCACTCTCGCCTGCCTACGGCCAGTACCACCCTCGTCCAAGACGCCTCCTTTTCCCCCCTCTCTCTCGTTCTTTTCTTTATCTATCTATCTATCTATCTATCTATCTTTTTTTTAATTGTATTTTATTTCTCAAAACTTGAAAGCCTTTGGCTGCATGGGGAGGATCCTGCCTGGTCTGGCATGGGGTCGCGCTGTGGTTGTGGTCAGGGGAAGGCAGCGGTGTGACTCCCAGCTGTGCTGGGACCCTGTAGCTTTTGTCCCGAGACCGCTCCGGGACGCACTTCTGGGGCCTGTTTGAGGCTGGGCTTGACCCCCAGGCTCTGGGTCGAGCCCTGATCCTGACCCCTGCCTCTATGGGGTGGACTCTTGCAAGGGGCGGAGAGCAGGATGCGTCCCTCCGACTGATGGGCAATAGGAAGTGGAAATGGAGTCTGGTCCCTAGACCAGAAAACGCAGGCATTAGCCAAGAAAAACCACCCCCGCACCAATGTGTGCACACGTGGGTGCACGCAGGTGTGTCCCCAGGTAACCAGTGCTCTCTAAGAGGTAGCTGCCACCTTCTAGCCCCTTGGGAGTCTTCTCCCCCTCTGAAATCAGCCCACAAGATCCTCTGCCCTGTGGCTCGGGCTGCAAAGCCCATCCGTGTGCGCGGTGCTGCCCGGGCCAGCTTTGGCCCATTGAAAATACCCGGCTGCTTTTCAGACCTGGGAAGGCTCAAATGACCTGTTGTGCCGAGCTCCCGGCGCGTGGGTCTGCAAGGGGCTGACAGTGGGTTTGTCCGCACGCAGGGGGGAGACCCCAGGAGAGGCAGCACCGTGCGGCCAGTGGACCTGTGCGCACAGCTGCAGGGCTGACTTCTGCCGAGCGAGGGGCATCCGTGGTGCACTGACCACGTCACTCCCCGTGTTCGAGCAGCCTCTGCCCTCCGGTTTGCTATGGGAGGGATCACAACTCCCCTCGGTCTCCTCTGCCTCCTTGAGGAAGGCGTCCCATGCACCATCGGGGGTCTTGCACGGGGAAAGCCGGTGCCTGCCTTGCCTTATCCTTCTACCGCTGTGCTAGCCAAAGAGCAGCCGGGCGGGCGGCAGCCCGAAGGAAGGGCTCCCTGGGGTTCGGACGCATCGGGAACAGCCTTTCCAAGCAAGGGGGTGCAGACAGCTCCTCACCCGCTGGGTTACCCCTTGTCTGTGCTGCAGCGGACACTCTGATTTTATTTTTATTTTTTTTTTTATAAAAACCACTAGTACAAGAGCATTTTGCACTATTTCTCCTCCCTCTCTGTCCTGCCCCGCCTCTCTCTTTGGTGGTTTTCCTCAACGGCGTGCGTATATTTAAACCCTCGACAATTCACCTCGATTCCAGACAGCTGTCCTGGTAAGCAGCAGCTCGGCTCACCACGTGATGCACTGCGCTGACTCCCACCTGCCCCGCCACCGCCCGGGTACCGTCCTTCCACCGTACCGTTATAGCCCATTATAGCACAGTTGTTAACACACCGGATTTGGAGGTTCCTGCCTGGTTTTATCTTTAAGCAATACTCACTACACATTTTTACGGTAGCTCTTTATAGCTTTACATACATACAGTAGCTCTGATTTCTTTTTTTTTTTTTTTTTTTTTTTTTCATTAAATGGAAAATTTTCAAACTCTTTTTTTTTTTTTTTTTTTTTTTTTTTCAGTAAATGAGAAATATTCATAATCTTACTGGTGGAGAAAGAAAAAAAAATTTAAAAAAAAAAACAAAAACCACAAGTTTGTGAAAAACAGACCATGGAAGAGGAGCGCACTGCTCTGTTTTAGCGTTTTGTACTTTAAAAAAAAAGAAAAACAAAGAAAAAATCTCACATTTTATTAAAAAAAGTGACGATCGCTGTATACTATTTATTCAACTTATAATTTATGTTACTCTTTGATCTTTGTCTTTTCTCATGACAAAGCATTTATTTAATAAAGTTATGCATTCAGTTAGCTTGTGCGCATGTGTGTGTGCATGTTCCCTCCGGACGGGTGGGGAGGGGTCTGGCTGGACCGGGAAGACATTTGGGGAGGGGAGGAAGGAAAGAAATCAGCCAGCCCAAGAGTGAATGTAGGGGAGAGTTTACGGGCCTTTACGCGTTGAGGTGGAAGCCAGAAAGAGCACGTTTCTGGGGGCAGACAACCGCAGCTGCGGGGTGGCCTGGTCCTTTGGTGACACGACTGGGACTGATCTTTCTCAACGGGTGTCAGGTAAATTGTCCCTTGGAGCTGGCGCCGTTGGGCTGTTCGCGCCAAGCCAACGGGAGCTGGCAAAGCCTTCCTGAAGGTGAGGCCTGGGGAGCTGGGAACAGGACAGATGCATCCTAGACAGCTCAGAAAAACCAGGCTCTGCTCCCAAATACGACCTGCGACCCTACTGCACCTAATGCAACAGGCTTTGCATGGGCTGGCGGCTTGCTCTTCTTCCATAGCATGATCCCCTGCTTCCCTGGGCATCCTTGAGACACGCTCACATCCTCCCACGCTTCACAGGACAAACGCACTTCCGCATAGGCTCTGCTCCCAAATACGACCTGCGACCCTACTGCACCTAATGCAACAGGCTTTGCATGGGCTGGCGGCTTGCTCTTCTTCCATAGCATGATCCCCTGCTTCCCTGGGCATCCTTGAGACACGCTCACATCCTCCCTCCTCCCACGCTTCACAGGACAAACGCCCTTCCGCATTTAGCCCCTCCGTCGGAGGCCTTGGGTTCAACACCTACTAGACTCCTGTGTCTCCTGCTGATTCCCACAGCAGCAGGTCCAGAGACCAGATGTCTGAGCACCGATGTCCCCACCACCCAGCTCCGCCAACCTCTGCATGCAGGCCTGCCTTGTAAAGTGCTCCCCACCCAGTAACAATCCCAGAGCACCCCTTAGCCTTTGCAGAGGGTCATTTTCCCCCAAAGCATCACCCAGACACCCAGCACAACCCCACTGGGGGGCAAGTCGGTGCCGTTCCCCCCCATGCGCAGCTGCAGTGGATGGATCAGGCCCAGACTACATGTGGCCACTGGGCCAAGGCTCAGGTGTGCTGCTGCTGGTAACTTGTCTCCTTTAATGGTGGAAGCGACCCCAAAGGAGAGCCAGCTAGACTGGACCCCCTTCGCTAGAGTCAATTAGACTGGACCAGGCAAAGCACGGAGAGATTAACCAGCCTGGCCTGCGGGGAGGAGAGACGCTGCCAGTCTCCAACCGGAGCCTCGGCGCTGGAGAAGCAGAACGTGCTACCCGTCGGGCACCTGGGCACGAGGGGATCAAATTCCCGCATTTCCCACGTTGCAAGGCATTAGCAAGAGCCAGAGCGGACGTGCCCCTGACCCAGGTCGTGTGGGTAGGTGTGCTCTCTTTTATTCGACCAGCTAAATAGTTGGGGAAATTGTTCTTTGCAAGCTTTGGGGCACAAACACCCTTCTTCAGGCATCAGAGCAACCCTGACCCACCCGGGGAGGAGAGAGCAAGGCCCGCGGCCCACGTCCGACCAGCGCGGCGCTGACAGGCCCTGCCCACCAGGGGGAGGCTGCGCCCCATGCGTCCATGCTTTACAGCTCCTCCGAGAGCAGCCATGGATGGAGGCAAGCGGGGTGTTTTGGCTTTAAATGCACCGGTCCCAGCAATAATTCCCAGCCCTCTGCCAGGTCTCTTCCTAAGCAAGCGTTCAGCCCCCACCTCCTACCTGCCCCCCTCCAGTATTAAAGAAGTTTGCTCTGCTTCCAGCCCAGCTCTGTGCAGCCAGTGACTTCGGGCAGGCAGTTGCCTAACTCAGGAAGCCAATGTGCAACCTCCCAAACAGGGAGGCTGAGCCCAGATCCCCCACGCCGTGACCAGAGCCACGTGGGAGCCGGGCATCTGGGGGGCGGGGGCTCAGGAGCCTGGAGGACGAGGGAAAGACCCAGCTGCAGAGCCCAGTTCCCCTTCCCTGCGCACCAAGGAGGGGCCTTACGATGTCTCTGCACCCCTTGGGCAGTGCCCCAGGTGTGCAAGCTCTCAGGACAGTGAGCTGGTGTGTGCACACAAGGGTTGGCACACGTGCGTGTGTTCATGCTTGCAGAATCGTGTCATATCCCCAGCTCGGGGCGTGCGAGTGAGACCTCCTCAAGCCCAGCAGAGATTTCCCTTCACCCATTGCTCTGCCCGGCTGGGTGGGGATGCAGCTGCCGTCCCCATCGGGCGTGAGATCCTCTGGCCTTCCCAACGCCCCTTCGGTGTGCGCGCGAATGTGGCCGCTGACCTGAGGGTCCGGGCTCGGGGGAGGTGGTTGCCCGTCCTCCCCCCCGGACAGGAAAAGCCCCACTTGCGTTTCCCTTTCTAGAGGGCCGTAGGCTCCTCGTCCCCGCTCATTTAATGGGCGTGAGGCGCCTCAAAGCCCCCTGGGCCTTGGGAGCATGGGTGGCCGGTTTGAACACGGGCCACTCTGTGAGATGGCACCTCGCCTTCACGGCACCTCACACCTGTGATGAAATCAGTGTCTTGACACCCCTGGGGCCCCCTTCCCCGTGGCTCTGTGCCGCGTTTGCAGCGGGCAGGCTTTTTCCCTCTCTGGGGAGGGATCTGAATTAGTGTGGATAGGATGGCATGGGTCGCCCTTCCCCTGAGATGGGCCTTTCATGTGTCAGCTGGTCAGAGGTGACCTGACCTGAGCCAGCAGCCTGGCCCCATGCCCCGGGAGGTGCCAGCTCTGAGATGAGAGGTGGTCTTGTAGGTACGGACATTACAAATCCCCAGGGCACGCTCTTCAGGAGTCAGGCTGGCAACCCATCGTCCCAAACAGCGTAGTCCGCTATCCTCTATTCCTTGCTTTAGTCTCTCCCAGGTGTGGGGCTTTTCTCCCTCCACGTCCTACATCACTGTAGGGTTTTTGCCTTCCTATGTAATGTGGGGCACAGTCCTTCTGCAGTCGGCCAAGCAACTAGGCGCCAATTGTCGCCCTGTAGTTGAGGCAATGCCCAAAGCTCCCGGGGCAGATCCAGGTGGGAGCAGTGCTGAAGTCTCACCCCCCACTTTGATTCCTGAAGCAGGAGCATCCATATGCAAACCATCCCAACCAAATCCATCATCTAACCTCGTAGTAAAACTCCTGTCAGCCCAATCTTAAGCAAGCCATCCTTCCTCCTGCAGTTTCAGCGTGCCCCCGTCTAGGCCGTTCTCAGTCTCTGCTTGGTTTCTTGTCCCTCTCTAACCCTGCTCTCCCTCCTGTTCTTACTCTGCTTTGGTCTCTCGCTCCCCACCACTGCTGTGTGTGTCCTGTCCGGCAGGAATCCCTCATCCCACATCCTCAGGCTTTCCATCCTGGCCTCTCCTCCATTCCCCCTGCTACAAAACATGAATTGCTGTCATGCGACATCTTGTTACGTTACGGAGTCGGCAGCTCAAAGAGACTCCTGCTCTCACGCTTTTCTGGGGCTTAGCTTCTGCCTGCCCTCAGGTCTAATCTCAGGACAGGCAGGTAGGTATAGGCAGTCTCCAGCCAGCTTCCTGGATGCAAACACATCTGTGCCTTTCCGGGGACAACACAGCAACCTTACAGCTGCCATGCCAGCACGAGTGTGGCGAGCGCTCTGCCTGCAGAAGAGGCCAGCCGGCTGGCAGAAGGCACAGCCGTGTGTCTACACACACCTTCTTCCACCTGCCCAAAGGCAGCAAAAGCTTGACTCTGCTCGACAGAAATGATGGGCCTGCCTCTGCAGAGAGGCTTTTGAGTGTGGATGCTCTGGACTAGACCAGAACCACCAGCAGACGACAGGACAAGGAGCAACGGGCTCAAGTCGCAGCAAGGGAGGTTGAGGTTGGATATTAGGAAAAACTCTCTCGCTCTGAGGGCAGTGAAGCACTGGACCAGGCTCCCCAGAGAGGTGCAGTCTCCATCCTTGGAGGTGTTTAAGACCCAGGTAGACAAAGCCCTGGCTGGGATGATGGAGTTGGGGCTGGTCCTGCTTGGAGCAGGGGGTTGGACTAGATGTGACCCCCTGAGGTCCCTTCAACCCTCATTTTCTATGATTTTGATTCCATAACACTGTTGGGGGCTCTGTATGATCTATACATGGAGGACTTCCTTTGCACGCCCCAGAGCCAGAGACTGACTTGTTTCTACTAAAAATAAAGGCTTGCCTTTTGCAGAATCTAATGTATGTGCTACATAAACAGAGCCGGCGGACGGGATAACTGACACCCTTGTCCTACACATACGCAACTGGGACCAATAATAATGAAAGGGCCAACTCTGCTCACTACATGTGGAGTCCGCTGTGTACAATACCCGTAGGACAAAGCCACGAGCAGGTCAATGTTTATGTGCGATGCATCAGGCAAGGCCACGTGTTCTATTAATAGAGGGGAAGAAAGATGACCCCTTTTTTTTGGCATCTTTAATTTATTCCAACGTTATGCAGTTCAGCTTTTCCAAGAGAGAAAGGGAGGGGGAAAAAAGCATCCTGATTTCTAAACAAAATGAGAAGTACAAACTGCAGAGGAGAGCTGATGCTCGCAAGGTTTACATGGAAAGCAGAAACAAATCCCCGTGGGTGTTAACAGAAAACAGGTAGCACCAATTTTTACAATGCCTAGCTTGTGCACACAAAGGAAAACCTCCAAAACCAGAGCGACTCCCCACTCCC